TGTGTGTGTGTGTGTGTGTGTGTGTGTGTGCATACTTGTGGCCAGGTATTGCTACTTCTTATGAAGATTTAAGAGTTTTATAATGCTCTGCAGTTACCTATGTAGGATGAAGAAGATACAAGATTTAAACTCAGTTTGGACATGATGAGCAAATTGTGATTTAGTCACACTGTATTATTGTGGATGCATACTTTAGAAATGATAAGGAAAAGATTATAGAGAAAACATTAAAATGTTTTTGTGGTTTTTTTCGTATTGAGAATTGAGAGAAAACATTAGAATGAAATTAGGAGTTTGCTAATTCTTTTTGATATTTTTTAATCTTAAATAAGGCCCCTTTCACTCCTTAGTTGTGTTTTTTCTTTATCTCCAATGCTAAATTACCAATATGAGGAACAAGATGACATTTCCACCGTCAGTCAGATCATCACCTATACTGTTGATGGCTAATCCTTTTTTAAAAGAGCAAAATGATGCTTCTCAAGTAAAACTTGGCTGCCTACTGGTGGGATTTTTGCCATTTACATCTCACAGTCACCTCTTTCTAAGAAAAAAATTTACAACATAGGTGAGTATAGTTGTCTCATGGCTCTTACATGAGATAAGTTTCCCTAAGAGTACATTTTGATTATAGTAGCTTACCTAGCTCCTTGAAAACATGCAGCCATCTGAGCAGTGAAGCTAAAATCAAAAATTCAACATAGATTACTGCACCAAATATAGCAGAAACACTCTTTCTCAGGTCAATGTTTCCTGGGTATCTAAGGCAGGGAGGAAACTATGGAATAAGAAGTATTAATATGGATTCAAGTCTTGAGTCTGTCATGCATTTTTTTCTAGATCCATAGAAGAGTTACTTACCTCCTCCTCAACTGTAAAATAAAAACAATAAAATCTCTGCCACACAATTCACAGAATTGTATTTATAAATAGCGATTATCACTTTCAAGTCACTCAAAATAATTTTTATTTTGAGGTATGCCCTTAACTATGTAGTAGGCTCCTAGAAAAATCATAAAATTAGGAGAAAGCTTATTTGCATGAGCAACTATCTACATTCAGATGAATAAAGGGTATTCAAGGGGCTAGGACTGAAGTCTTGTCCCTCTAAAATGAAGCGGCCTGAAGTCATGTTGAATATCAGAAACTAAAGCATAAGAACCAGGAGTAGAGTATAAAGACACAGAGCTCTCAGGAGACTTCCCCCAGGAGAGCATCTCAAGCTCCTCTTTCCTCAGGAAGAGACAAATTGCCTGTGGGAATTAACTTGGATATTTTTAATATATACCTATCTACTTCTTAATGTATAAATCACAAATGCAATATGTACAATATATTAGAGTTCTAACAATTTCTGTTAAATGTATAGTCAGGCAGCCACTACCCAAATTTCCTCAGTTTTTTGTTGTCAACTTCTTTTGTATGTACTTTCCTGGAAACTACTAAACAATCTTTTGCATGTGTTTGCCTTTGTAAAAATGTCCTTCATTCAAATACTAGAAATGTGGTCTCTGATATTAGCATCTTTTATTTAGCATAAACTTATTTGGGATACAGAAATTTGCTACATATATTTGTAACATTTTTGTTATGGTGTAAATATCAAAAAATGAACTTTATACATTATATGTTTTTCACTCTTGGTTCAGGGCAACTTTTCTTAATCTTGTGTTTGGTGATCATGAGCAAAGTTGACATTTTTGTGTGAACCTAGATTTTTATTTCATTTGAGTAAATACCCAGCAATTGGTTTACTTGGTCATAAGGTGAATATACTAAACTAAGTAAGAACTTTCAACTATTTATGGAAGTGGTTTTACCATTTTCCATTCCCAAGTGTAATGCATTCTATTTAGTTGTAATTTTAAGATTATATTCTATTTAATTATATTATCAATTTACTGTTTCTCAAAGATGCTTCATCTTCCCAGAAAAATCTTTTTATATTATTTTATTTTTATTCATTTAATAACATTTTGACGGACAATAATTGAATATATTTATGATGCATTGTGTGAATTTTTAGTACACATATACAATGTTCTTACAAACTCAGGGCACTTTGGTTATCTATTCTCTCAAATATTTACTACTTATTTACTGTATCCAAAATCTTCTGTTCTATTTTGTTATATAATACAATACTGTTCATGACAGTCACCCCATGGATAATAGATATTTTTTCCTGTTTCTTAAAAATACCTCTCAAAAAGTATTTTAAAAAGAAAAAACCCACAGACTTACCACATTATCACATTTAAAACTCAGGAATGGCTTTTCCCCTATAAAGGGAGCTGATCCATTCTGTTCTCTCTGAGCTCTAAGTCCCTCAAAGACTTAGGATACCTCTCTCAGGATCACAAGCGTGGGCAGTGGTTAAGATTGGTTCTGTGCACGAAGGTAGCTGAGCCTCAAATTGGGAACTTAACCTTTCCAATTTTCAGTTTTTATCAATAAGGAAAATTGTATGCTTTAGATCTAAAATGTGGCCCATAGTTTCATGTGTTCAGAGGTGGGAGTTTTGGAAGTTGATGAGAATGAGAAGGTGTGAACGTCAGTAGTGGGTCAGTGATGACGTCACAACAGAACGGGCTCTGAGAAGGTGGGAACCATTGGAGGAGGGCGATCACTTGCCTTTGGAGGTTATATTTCTTGCTGTGGCTCTGTCTCTTGTCTTTCTGCTTCTGCCCGCTATGAATTGACTATCTTTCCTCTGCAATGCCCTTCCAACGTGCAACTTCCAGGCGGCAGCCGGCTGATCACGGATGAAACTTCTGAAATTGTAAGCCAAAATGAACCTTTCCTTTTCGTTTTAAGGTTCAGGTATTTTGTCCTAGCAAAGAAAGCTGACCAACAGAAAGGATAGAGAATATAATCTCATCATCAAATCATGGCTAAGAATATTATCATACACAATTATATATACATAATATATATGGTATAATACATATAATATATTCTATTATCTATATCTATATCATTTACATTTAGGTATATCACAGAACATTTTTAATATATACAAGGTTTCTGTAAAGTTAAATGTTAATGGTTTTTTTTTCTGGTACCGGGAATCGAACTCACAACCTTGCGCTTGCCAGGCAGGCGCTGTGTCACTGAGCTAAATCCCCAGCCCCCAATGTTTTATTTTTTAAAATTAATGTAGCAGAGGTAACACAGAACATGGAAAATAGTGGTATTCAAACCTGTGTATTTCTCTACATGTACCTGCTCAGTTGCAGCTGAGACATGTGCTAGTTGCAGACAGTGGACTTTAGGAAGAATTGGTGGGAGTAATTTTTTTTTGTCTTTTTGACACAGGGTCTCTCTGTACAGTTCAGGCTGGTTTTGAACTCACTTTGTAGCCCACACTGGCCTAGAACTCCCAGCAATCCCCCTGCCTCAGCCTGCAGAGTGCTGGGATTGCAGGAGCGAGCCATCACGCTAAGCGATGGGAGTAATTTTTATGTGGGTTTGAAGCATATCCATTACCCTCCAGTTGTCTCTCCTGTCTGAGAGTTTGTGAAGACTTCATGGTCTCACAGGTGCAGCTGCAGGTGGAGAAGTCTTCATCAGCACAAGTTTGGGAATAACTGCAAGGAAAAGCTTTCCACTATATTAGGCAGCCTGTGTCAAAATTCTAATGGCCTGTTCCGTAAAAGGAAAAGCAAATAGTAAAATGTATCTGTAAATGAAAAGGACCATGAATAGTTCAAATAACCTTGAAAATGAACAGAGTAAGACTAATACTTCCTGATTTAGACAACAAAAACCAATTAAAAATCAAAACATTTGATATTTCCTGAATGATAGAAGTATAGACTATACTGACCTTCCTGTCACTGAGTCACAAGCCCAACACCCACAATTTAAAGGAGTAAAAGTTTGATTTAGCTTGTAGGTGCAGGAGATAGGGTATGGTTGCCGAGCCATTTGGTTCATGGTGGCAAGTATGCAGAGTGGGGGGACAGTGCCAAAAAGTAAGGGGTGAAGGACAGATATAGACCTATGGCCATTCCTCCGTGATCCACCCAGAAAAGGCAGATTTTTCTTCTTCAATCCATGAGGTGGATCCCAAAGTCAATTAATTCAGTACTCTACCCTACTGGTCACATCTACTACCCATCCCTTGACCAACTGATACTCCACACACATCTCCTTAAACCATACTTAATTCCCAAATAAATGGAGGTTATAATTCCATCTAAGATGATAAAACTATCTTGTGTATGACCAAAAATGAGGAATTCCTTTCCCAAGTTCTCAATAGTTTGAGCATTTTTCAAAAGTCCAAGGTGAAGTCTTTCTGAGACTCAAGACAAGTTCTTAGCTATAAACTTCTATAAACATCAGAAGCAAATTACATAATCCCAAAATAGAATGGCACAGCATAACAATTCCCAACACACACACACACACACACACACACACACACACACACACACACACTGGAATAGATGGATGGAAAAGAATCAGACCAAAATCCCAAGGGCAAACATTAAGTAGTGTAATTTCATCAGACAGCCTATACACATGGTAGTGAGATATAAGTTTGTAGCACCCTACAGCTTGCTGTTTACAGCCCATATAGCCTATCTCCTGGACTGACTTCACTAATGGATTGCAGCTTTCGTCAGTACTGTTCTATGTTCCTGGCACCGCCAACCTCCTGGGGTTTCCGCTGCACCTTTGGATTCATTCCCACATGATACATCACTCTCTCAGGAGCTCCTTTCCCAATATCCCAGGTCTCTTTTGGAAATATGGAAGTATGGTTTTCCGACTTCCTGATTCTTGCGTTCAGAGATGTTTTAAAACCAACATCAAATAATGACACTGATGTAAGTAGAAGCAGGAGCCAGGTGGGCTTGACCAGGGCTGCAGCAGGACCTGAGCACCTGGATGGCTGAGCATGGTGAAACAGATCCCAGGGAGCCAATTCTCTAGAACATTCTTAAGCAGGGTTCCCAGGGACTCTCTTCTCAAATGAAAGGATACTTTGCTCACTTGAGTCTGCAATGGGTGGGGGCTTGCTAATTCCTGCGACACCCTCAAGGCGTCATACTTCTTATCCCCTAAGTACCAAGGGCTTAGTTTGTTTGTAATTGTGCCAATCTCATTAGCAGCCACAACTCCTTTGTTCTCAAGTTTCCACAGGTTCCTTCCAGATGAAAATTTAAGTTTTCAAAGATTTATGTTCTGCCTTTTGCTCTCAAATCTCACCATGAATTTGGCTAAATTCCGCCAGAATGTTAGACTCTGTTGAAATTTTCTCCAATAAATTATAGAGTCAGAGCCCTCGTTCTCAGTCCTTTGAAAATTGTCAAGACATTGGCAAAATGCACGCAAATTTTCTACCAAAGTGTAAATGTGTAACACACATGGCCTGTAGCCCAAATGCTACTGCAATACTTCTCAAGGGAAACTTCCTGTGCCTGACTTTCACTGTCCACAAGGCTACCAGCACTGTAGCTTTCTGAGAGCCCACCACAATCACCCCTCACACTCTTCTTATGATATCCTAGGGCTTCTCCAGTCCACATGTTCAGATGATTCCAAACGCCTCTCAAAACGTTTCCAAAGGCTCCCACACCGTGTGTCGAGGTATAGTCTCAGTAATGGCCCCATTCTCTGGCACCAGTTTTCTGTGTTAGCTTTCTCCTTGCTGGGACCAAACACCCAACACCCACAACTTAATGGAGAAGTTTATTTGTTTATCATTTCTTAAAATCCAGCCTATGGTTCATTGGCTTCAAGGCAGAAATGTCATAACACGATGGGATGGAACAAAACTGCTCAATTAATTGCAAGCAAGAAGCAGAGCAGGAGACCAGTGCACAGAGGTAAGGAGTGAGGGGCCAGACACAGACATTAAAGTTGTTTCTAAATGACACCCCAGACACAGGCAGAAGTGCGCCCTGTCAACCCCCTATTCAGCTCCCAAACCAATTGAATCCCCCTAACTATCACTTCATTTCCCCAGAAATCAGAGGTTAAATTAACTGAATTTTCTGTTTCACTTTCCACATCTGTACCATTAGAATTATAAGAAATTTTCTTATTGAAGCAGATCACTGCAATAAATTAGATCATGTTGAGTGCTTAGTGGGATGTCATTTTAAGAGCAAGAACTCACTAATGTCAACTACTAAGAGAGTACTACTACGGAACCTGCATGACTGTTAGAGCAGTCAATGGATTCCTACTAATAAAGGTATGAGATGATTAAATGCTATAAGGGGCAATTATCATATAATACTAATAAATAAGTACAAAACAAAATGAAATACTCTGTGAGGCTGATGGCTGATGTAGGATGGTGAGAGTGAGATCCAGAAAGACGGTGGGAGAAGAAAAGAAGAGGAAAAGAGAAGACTTATGAGACATACATATGTAGACGGTAGATCAATGTAGCCATTAGCAGAAGACTCCGAGCAGACAATTTACTCTGAGTATATTACAGAGATATGTTTATCCAGTAATTTACCTGGGTTGTACTGGTAAGTGTTACTGAGTAGAAATTTAAATGGATATATCTTTAACACTGCTGTCATTCCTTGAATCCCAGTTTCACACTCTGTAAAAACTCAGTTCATAGAAAGCCCAGGTTAGTAATTTCATAGATTTGTATAGACTAAATTTAAAAGTACTTAAACCCTACATATTCAATGCCCCAAACAAGTAGTGTCTTTAGGATTAGTTCTCCTACTGGTTGCCTTTTCACATATGAAGTTTTAGGACTAAAGTCACCTTAGAGTAAATGTGTCATACATGTGTATCCAAAATAAAAAAATACAATTTACCTAGTTTTAACACATTAGCTGTGAGTAACTTTTATCTAACTCACCCATTTGAGCATATGAAATCACAACTCTGTTCCAACTGTGTATATTACTGCCATTACAGAGCCTATGAGTGACCCCTTATTCATTATGTGGACAGAGGCAGAAAACTCTACAAATCAGTACTCAAGAAGATAAAAGCTATAATCAAAATAAATATAAAGTGTTACTCAATCACCACGAACATGTTCAGAATATTTCAGGACATTCTAGTGATCTTGAAGTTTTTCCTTGTGAGTATTCTGTGGAGACAAACACATACAATTATGCTTCTAGATGCAATAATTTCTCAAAATATTTAATTTGTCTTCTCTTCACACAAGAGGCGTGACTTAAACATTGACCATTAAAAACTTGAGCTCTATGAAATGTGCTGTCAAGAATACGAGGAGATATGCTACAGATAGGAAGAAAACACTTGCAAAAGATGTGTCTGATAAATGACAATTATCCAAAGGTTTTAAAGAGCTCACAAGACAAAAATGAAAAAAAAAAACCAAAATACTTGTTCAACTAACTCCTACCCTAATGCCCTGCTCTGATATAATAATGAATATAGAGCTACTTTGAAAAGCATAAAAGATCCTCAGATCAGGAAACCTGAGCCATTATTTTCCATTTTTCTGTTTGATCTCCATCTGATTACTGTCCTAGAACTCATACCTACCATCGTCATTTTTATATCCTTTATTGATATTAGTTATTCACGAGGCTTTGTTCTCTTGGTTTCATTTAGTCATTTTCCCACAATTTCTATTATTTATTTGAACAGATTTTTGTTACTCATCTTTAGAATGGTAAACACTTTCAAACACTAATTAGAAAAAATTTTTAAAAAGCAAACTAATGTAAACGTACTCCATGTGCATGAATCAGAAATCTTTCAGATGACCACACTGTAATGCCATATGATCTGAATTAAAACGGAAACAGACTTTTACTTGCATAAATAAAGACAAGCAGACATTATGTATATCTAAAATGTGGATTAGGAAAAGTGGTAGACTGTACAAGTACTTATTAAAAAACTGTTCAAAGTGAGATCATGAATCCTTTTATGACTTTCTCTAATATTTAATAAAGAAACAGTGGATGGGAAAAAAAACATACAAGTTAATGCACCAAATTATGACATCAGCAAGCTGGCCCACAGGTTCATCATCAGCTGTTTCTTGTGGAAGTTGTAGAGATAAAATAATAAAGCATATATGCTCTTTAAAGCAAATTTTACTGTATGATGCTTTTTATTCTACCTGGAAGATATGAAAAAGGGGAATAGCTGGGTCAAATGGAACCTCTAGTTTCAGTTTTCTGAGGAATCTCCCACTGATTTCCACAGTGGTTGCACCAGTTTACACTCCCACTCATGGTGGAGAAGGGTTCCTTTTTCCCTGCAGCCTTGCCAGCATTTGTTGTTGGTTAATTTATTGATGATAGTCGTTCTTTCTGGGGTGAGACGGAATCCCAGTGTTTTAATTTATATCTCTTGAATGACTAGTGATGTTGAACATTTTTTCATATATTTATTTACCATTAGTGCTTTTCATCTGAGAAGTGTCTATTTATTGCAGATGCCTATTTTTGAATTGGGCCTTTAAATTTGGAGGTCTGATTTTTTTGAGTTCTTTGTATATTCTGGATATTAGTCTTTTGTCTGAGGAACAGCTGGCATCAAACCACAGTGACACATGCACACCCATGTTTATGGCAGCACTAGTAATAGCTAACTCTTGGAAACAAGCCAAATGCCCATCAACTGATGAATGGATAAAGAAGATGTTTTCCTTTTAATACAGTGCAGTAATACTCAGCCATAAGTAAGGATAAACTTCAGATAATTCTAGGTGTGACACTTGTGTTCAGATATTACATGGTTTCTCTGGTGTGAGAAACTGAAAATATAAGTAAGGACCAAAATGCATAATCAGTTTTGTGAAAAAGGAAGAAAATTTTCAAATAAGAAAAGGAATTAGGGAGGAGGAGGGCAGATGGAAGGAAAGAAGGAAAAAAGAGAAAAGAAAAACTGGAAACAAAGCTTTTGTAAATAAGGAGAGGAAGAGGGTTTGAAGGAAGGGGAAGGGAATGGAAAAAAGAAGAATCAAAATACATACAGGTACACATTTTCTACGATGAATGTGATCATCATGTATATCTAAAATGTACCAACAAAATTAATAAATAAAAAGTAAACATTGCTCTAACCAATGTATTTTTCTATGCAAAAATAAAACTCAATATTAAAATCAAAATTAAGAAATATTTCCCCCATAAGTCCTTATGCAAATGTTTATAAAAATTTTGTGGTTCTATTTTTCATATTTTCTTATTCTTTCATTTGAATTTTTTATTAGTACATGATTGGAGTAGGTAATAATTACATTTGTTGTGGGGAATTGGTGCATGGACATAATACATTCTTTCACCTTCCTCTCTACTTCCCTTTCTTGCCAAGATTGCATTTGTTTAATTTTCTTACAAGCCCTTATAAGATTAATTATCACACATACAGATTAACAACCACATTAATAGAACTAAAAATGTATAAAACACGTAAGACAATTATACTAAATCAAGATACACTTTTAGATACATTGTCCGTGCTGGATTATGATAATTTTTTCCCTCTCTTTTTATCTATTATTGATCTTTTACATCGTAGTTCATTTATATATTGAGTCTCCCTTGTAAGAGAAACCATGTGATATTTAAGTTTGTGTGTTTGATATACTCCACTTAACATTATGGTCTCAAGGTTGAAACTGTCAAAAATAAGAGCTACCAGCTGCATTTCGAGAGTCAGTGGTTAATCTGTAAGCATCATTAACTTGGAAGAGCAGTGACAAGATGGAATTGCTGATTCATACAAGCATGAGGGAATATAGAATGGACTCTATTATTGAAAGAAAGAAGATATGAAGGGTAAATATTGTATTTCTCTGATCATATAATACAGGGGTGGAAACAATATGTTGATTTCCAAGGATGGGGAAAGTCCAGAGGGGATGACCATACAGAGGATATAAAAGGGCCATTTTAGAATGATGGACTTATTTTCTTAATGACCACTGAACACAACATATGCAAGTCAAATTCCATAAAGTCACACCTCAAAGAGTGAAAAAAAATTGACCCACCCAGGAGTCCAGTGGAAACCCGGGGAACAGAGACTGTGACAAAATGATCCAACTGCGTTACAAATGTATGACCTAACTTCCCTGAAAGGAGAGGGGAAAAAGAACCTGACTATGGTAGCAGTGGAAAAGTATTTGCCGATTGAAGATGACTGTAAAGCTAAAAATAATGGAAATTATACAAACCTACTGGACTAGTTGGGTTATCTTCATGCTTGGGATAGTCTCTCAGTGTTAAAATTCTCAAATCAGTCGCATCTGTATTGACCTTTATTATCCAAAGGTTCCAGGAAATCAGCATATAGATCTTTCACTGGGCCATTCATCCTGTTACAGTAAACATTGTTCACAAATGCCAGAACATTTCTTTAAATCTGAAAGCATAAAATCGAACAATTATGAAACGCAATGGCTACAACTCTTCGTACCAGGAGAAACCAGGTGATGAGGACAGAAGTCAGTGCTGCCTTACGACCGCCCTGCAGCCCCACCCTGGGCACTGTCCGTATTCAGGTCACAAAGCACAAACTCTGAGAGGCTGATGTCTCCGCCTGTGTGGACACAGGCACATTCCCGCTGGAAGGTTTTCTATAATATTCAGCTCCTTGCTGATCGAGTTTAAAAACATGAAGAATGTGCGTCATATTGGAACATTGACCACACTTGATGTTTACTACTGATCAACATTTTCATGTGTAAATTGCACTTAGACACGTAGGATGACTTTGGTTAACTGTATAATTAGTATTTCTATAGCAATTTCTCAGCTCTAACTAGGTCTGAATCCATTAATTAATTCATATTGATGTGTCTTGATGAATCAGTAGGCAGTTCTTATTTGGTATTAGCTGCTATTTGATGAGACATCATTTCTAAGTACCAGTTATGAGAATTGAAAGGACCCATTTGGTGATGGGATTCCCAGGCACCCATTTTGCATACAAATGAAAAGCGTGAGGAGTGAGTGCTGATAGAGAAAGAAACACTTCGGTGAGGCAGATGGGCAGGGTTTGTGGGGCGCGCTGTGCGTTTTTGAAGAGTGTTTTTGTTCTGCATGACTCACAGTCATCATCTGTGGGCAAAGGTTCCGCGTAATGTGCCACCTGAATGCAAAACTTAACCATTGTAGTTTTCCATTGGGTAAGCTTTTACTGAGAGTGTGCGATGAGAGAGATCACCAGGTGCTGGTGATTGTGTTGTGAACAACATGAAGTCCCCGCTCTTCTGAAGTTCAAGTCTAACTGAACTTCATGAAGGAATGAAGGAGAAAGAAAGGGTGAGGTAAACCACAGGTGAGTGTGATAAGGGCGATGAGGAATGCTGTAGGATGAGGTGACCATGCGGTGGGTAGAGAGAGACCAGTTCAGACAGATGGGCCCAGAAGGATTCTGCCAGAGTAACATTTAAACGGAGATCTGAATGGAGCGAGACATTGTGCATGTAGAACGGCAAGGGCTAAGGGTGTGTGGTCGGAGCTTGGTTGGAGATGCGATGACACAGAAGATAGTCAGTGATGAAGGTGATCGTGGCAAGTTGGAAACAGATGAGAGATGCTGGAACTCAAGTGAAAATTAATGGGCAGCATGAACAATCCAAAACACTTTTAGACAGAAAAGTATGCATAGTTACTGGTTTTTCATTAATTCTTAGATAGCGGGAATACTGATAGTAATGAATGCCTCGATATTTTTGTGCTTTTCTGATGTAAATAGCCCTTAGTTACTGCAGGCTGATCAGGCCCATGATCTCCCAAGTGAGTGGATGGTGAAGGCTTGAAGAAATGAGAGAACTGAAATGATTTCAGGGCTCCAGGAGCGCCCAGCTCTCTTACAGTTTTCGATATTCTCTGGGTAGCCTGTATTGATTAGGTTTTCAAACAAAGCGGGGGATACTCAAGAAAATGTGGGAATCTGAGCAGAACCCACAATTGGGAGAATTTTCCCAAGTAGTAAATTATGTCAATCAGGAGAACTACCTTATCTTTAGGTTGGCATTTATTGTAGGAGCGTGGAGCCTGCAGCTGCAGTCTCCTTGTAGTTAAAAGGGGTTGGAGTCAGATGTCCTCAGCTGTGGCCTTACCCTGTCCTTTGAAGAGTCACAGCTTCACAGGCCAATACACGTTTCAGGGTGACCAGGGACTCACAGAGGTTTACTTACTATGAGTCCACTGCCTATCTTCAGATGAGGTGCCTAAGCTTCAGACAACTCACGGGTAAACAGGGAAAGCCAATTGGTTAATATTAAATCCAGCTCAGAGCCACTTTGTAGTGGTCTCCAACACTGGTGCTCTGGATATTTTATCCTTTTGGAAATTAAATGCCTAAAATGACAAAATAAACATTTGAACATTTGTGCATGTAGAACGGCAAGGGCTAAGGGTGAACATTTTGGGTGTATACAATGACTCAATAATTAGAAATATGAGTTCATATGGGATTCCAGCCTTATACCAAGAAAACACACTTTCATTTTGTAATATAACATGTTTTTTTCCCCCCAGTTAGGACTCTTATCTTGGTAGTCAAAGAAGAGTTACTAATTATTAGACAAAATTTATATTTTAATACACAAATATTACATTGTAAATATTAGCAGCTGCATCAGCCCAGGCTTGCCAGTGAGACAGAATGAATAGGATGACTAGAGACACCCAAGAGGAGATTCAGGATGGACATCAACTCCTGCAGTTGTGGAAGCTGATGGAAGGCCATGCTATGTTCCCTGAAAATGCAGACCCAGGGAGGCTGGGGATGTAGCTCTGTCTGAGTCAGAGGCCTGAACCTGGGGAGAGTGAGGAGTGCCAGGTGTGGTCGGGACTGAGGCTCAAGAGGCTGCAGCTCTGAGATGCAAGAGGGAGAGAAGATGGCGTTTCCGGTTAAAGGAGAGAGAGACCTTCGATGTGCCCTCTCTCCACCTCTGAATTCTGTGCCAGGAAACCCGCAGTGGATTGGAAGATGGCCACATGCACTGAGTGCAGATTTCTATTCACCAGAGCGATGAACATATTGAAATATTTATAAATACCCTAGTAGAAATAGACATAAATATGTTTAACGTGTGGGTTTGCCCTAAACCCGGGAAACATGCTATATAGAATTAACTGTCACAAATATCCATACTATAATTAATCCTGGAAAGTTCTTCCCCAATTTCTGTAGGATAACACCAGTCACTCTCTCAGTTCACTGTGAAATCTAGAACACTGTGTTTGAAACAGAGCAGAAAGGGACAGATCTTCAAATGAGTTATTAAATGGATGTTAGACTACAGATAGTCCTTAGGGGACTTCTGAATGCAGTTTTTTAATTGGGTTTCTCTGTACCCCGGTTTTACAAAGATTTGCACTTATATTTTATATATATGTCATATGATTTACTACCTCAATTAGATCCCGAGATATCTTACTCATGTACAAATGTTATATTAGCACATATTGGTTTTTTATATAAAAGCAGGCATACAGATTAAGGGTTTCACTCCAGGCACTGCAATGCAATGTGGGCCTTAAAATAAAAATCTGTTCATGAAGATTAGAGATAGCTGCCAGTAGATATTGTCATCCTGTACCAGTAAAATCAAGATCCTAGTGCTTATTTCACCTTCAGAATAATTTTTGTGAATGCACTCTTGACCTCCTTGTTCCTCAGGCTGTAGACCATGGGGTTCAGCATGGGGATGACCATGGTGTAGAACACAGATGAGATTTTGTCCGTGTCCATGGAGTGGCTGGAGCTGGGCTGCAGGTACATGAAGATAACAGTCCCGTAGAAGATGGAGACTGCGGTGAGGTGGGAGGCACAGGTGGACAGAGCCTTCTGATGTCCTGCCCCTGAGTGCATCCTTAGGATGGAGGCAAAAATGAAGATGTAGGATATCAAGATAACAAGGAGAGCAAAAAAGATATTAAAGCCTACAACATAAAGAACAACCAGCTCTCTAACATGTCTATCAGAGCAAGAAAGAACCATGACTGCTGGAATATCACAGAAAAAGTGATGGACCACATTGTTGTTACAGAAGAAGAGACTGAATGTGTCCCCAACATGGATTGAAGCATTCAGGAAGCCACAGATGTAGGATCCTATGATAAGACATGAACACACACGTGTGGTCATGGTGGTGGGATAATGCAGGGGCTGGCACACCGCTGCATAGCGGTCATAGGCCATGGAAGACAAGAGGTAACTTTCCACAGTAGCAAAGGCTACAAAGAAGAACATCTGAGCAGCACAAGCATTGTAGGACATGACCTGGTCTCCTGTTAGCAGCCCAGCCATGACTGTGGGAGTGACAGCAGAAGAGTATCCAAAGTCCACCAGAGACAGGTTACCGAGGAAGAAGTACATGGGGGTGTGCAGACGAGAGTCCAGCAGGATCAGCAGGATCATCCCCAGGTTCCCAAGCACGGTGATGGTGTAGATGAGGAGGAAGGTTATGAGGAGGGGAAGCTGCAGGCGTGGGTCGTCGGTCAGTCCCAGCAGGAGGAACTCCGTCACCTCTGTCCTGTTCTCCATCAGTGTAGTCTGAGAATCAGTACTGTAGATGGTCTTTACTAATGCTAGAAAGGAGAAGCATCATACACTGAACTGTAACTGGAAAACATGAAGTAGTATTCTGTCCTTATAACAACACATTGTACTTCAAGATTCTTTCAGAAAAATGCATGGGGTGGGACACCAAATGTCGTCCTTTAAATATACACAGTGCACATGATGTTGCTTCTGAAGACTCTTAATGGGTCCTCCATCAAATTTTTAAATGTTTATGTATTTATAAACTGAGGGCTAAATAATTTTAAAACTTAATGAAAATTCCCTGTTTGCCTGAACTAATATGCTACTTTCCTTCTGAACACAGTCAAGGCTGTGGTTTCTATGTCGCGTTCCCACAAAGCACTCCTGCAGGCGCGTCAAAGGGGGATTCACCGTCTCCTGCCCCAGTGGTCTGTGTTGGATTGCTTCTTCTATATGGGTAAATTGTGGATCACATGACATTGAGCAATTCCTTCATATTTACAAAAGTATTACTTAAAAATCTCTCCTCTGGGCCCACGCCAGAATTTAGAAATTCATTCCAAGGATTCCTACGTTTAATGGTGAATGTAAATTGAATGTAACTCATTTGAAGATCTGTCCCTTTCTGCTCTGTTTCAAACACAGTGTTCTAGATTTCACAGTGAACTGAGAGAGTGACCGGTGTTTGTGATGTTTTCACTAAAGTTTTTATGTAATTGGAGAGAAAGTAAAAAAACATACAAAGGCCAAAAATCAAAAGGACCCTGCTTTCATCTACAAAATGTCCTAAATGAGTGGGCCAACTCTGAATCACACTGCAACCTATTCAACATATTCACATGCTTATTACTTACTCCCTGCACTCCTACACATGCTGCATCAGGTGGCTAAAACCATGGACTTTTGATTAGGTTGAAAATGAGTTTAGCACCTGAATCCCGGCATCACATTTCTCCCCGTTCCCTCCCTCCCTTGCCTCTTTCTTTACCTTCATAAGTCACCTAGGGAGGTGACTCAGACCTGGTCTGATATGACCTGATCTCATATGACCTGAAACTTGAAGGCTCAAGCCATCCTCCAGCCTCAGCTCCTGAGTAGCTGGGACCATGGGCATGTGGTACTACGCTTGCACACTTTATTTGAATTGGTGCCTTTGGAAGGATTTTCATCCCAAACTTCCTGCTATTCTCTACCATGTTTCTTCTAAATCTTTTGCAAATTCAACCATGATCCTGACACATTCATAACTGTGTAGGCCAACCTTGAACACGCTGATGACTTTAGCAAATGCCAACAGGAAAAGCTTTACTTATTAATGTGTTTATGTGTGTATTGATTGGGCTGGGGATTTAGCTCAGCGGCACAGCGCCTGCCTCGCAAGTGGAAGGTGGTGAGTTCGATTCCTGGTACTGGAAAAAAAAATGTATGTATTGGTATGTAATATAGTTAGTAATATTGGTGTTATTTTTGCTTTGTTATCAAGAAAATTTGAGTAATTATTTTTCTCTAAAATTGCATATGAAAGACACACAAGAATCAAGATTGGAATCCATCTGAAACAATAATACACACTTCTGCCACATATTGTCAGCATGAGTAAATGTAGTAACAATCTAAATGACGTTGTGGGGAAAGATTGAAATGAGTTCAGAACATGTTAATCCACTTAGGACCTTTTATAGTTTAAAGAAGGAGCTGTTGGCTGTTCTAGGGTTTTGTACATTTGTTTTTGTTTGTTCACCTCTAGTGGGAGTTAAATATGTAGTGAAAAAATATATAGTGATTAGAAGAGCTTCTGGTAGTCAGTGTCACAAGCCTTATTTTTTGTTTATATTTTTGGGGAGATGAACATGAATTGTCGTGGTGGTCCACTGCCTCTCCAGAAATTCCGACACTCACACAATAGGCTCACCTGAATTTTAGACAAGTGTTGAAACTGGTTTTTTTCTCTCTCTAGAGTTATTAAATATAGAATATACAAGCTTACCAGTTTGGTAGAGGAGGTAGAAGAGTCAGTTCCTAACAGTGAGTCAGAATCATACTCTCAGACATGGAATATTGTCGTATTCTGTCCCAGGAGTTCTCGGCCAGGTTGTGGTCCAAAGTTTCCAACTTCTGTAGCACAGTGCAAAATAAAATAGAAGAAAGAACAATAATGTGGATCGAGTTCTGAATCTCCCAGGGATTTTTTCTGTTTCCTGGAATACTTCATGTCTCTTTAAAAAATACACCTTTATACAAGCCAAAGGTTGAATCTACAAATAACAAGTAAGACCAGCCCCCTACAAGGCATTTCATGAAGACAGCCTCAGTGAAGGTCAGTCAGTGTGATTCTCATCACCGAGACTGTTCCCTGACCAGGTCTGCAGGCTCCTAACAAATCCTCGGGTCACGGGATGGCCTGTGTGCCCTAGAATGAGCACCACTAGCTGAATGAATAATGACTGGGGAAGCAAGGCCGGCAGAGCTGTGCTTCTCAAACAGCATAAGGCTGAGCTACAGCAGGCTTTCAGACTCTAATCACCAGGCTCTGGAGAGAACTGTACAGACTTGGAGACCCCTGGAGTTTTCCCCTGAGACACTATCTATGGCTCCACATCCTGCCTTCCGAGGGAAGAAGCAATTAAACTGCCTTTGGGGATCAAGAAGGTGCATAAATGTTTTTGTAGTATTTGGTATTGCTTGTTTCTTTTTAGACCTTCTAGTTGATTCCTACATACCGTAATACCCACACGGTTTTAGTGAATAGGTCAGTGTAGTCATGTAACCATCACTACAGACCCTTAAATCGATGTACCGAAGTTCCTCTCTGATTCATTCTGGCTCACATAGCACCTCTTGGGTGCAGTGAACTGCTTGGATCCAAGTAATTTCCCCCTGTGAGAATGTCCCTAGGCATCCTACACTATGAGGTCCCCGAGTCTGCCATTTTCCTCTGTCACTGTCTCCTAAGAGAACGTGCGATACTTTTCCTTGATGCGCTGATCATCATTTAAAGATTTTACTGGTGTACATTTACAAAGCAGCACAGTGATGCTCGTTTTGGGGAATCAGTGCTTGTGTAGCACAGCTGGATCATCTTCAGTCTGTTTCCCCTCCCTTGTTTTCCTCACCTCTCCCCTCTCTCCAAGAGTGATAATGCAATCTTTTCATTGCAGAGTAGTATTCCACTGTGTGGATATTGCAAACCATTTTTTCCCTTTGCTGATAAGGCATGTTGGTTTTAGTTTATGGTATTATAATTAAGGCAGATGTAAACATCTGCAGATAGATTTTTCTTTGTGCATAGATTTTTAATTCATAGTAGTAAGTCGCTAGCAGTCAGATTGATTTTCCAATGTTATGTGTCGGTTTACTTGAATTAGAAATGGCCAAATTATTTTCTGTAGAGGTCTTTCAAGTTCGAACTTCCCTAACTCATCCAGTCAGATTGATTCACATATTTATCAACAGTTTGTGTTTTTAAATTTTTCAATTATTAGTTTGGGTCAATTAGTCTTTGTTGTGGTCATTCTCTATCACATTTTAAGAAACCTCTTTAATAAATTCTATTTTGTTCTTACACACTCAGCTGTGTTGCCTTCCTATTCCTGCCCTAGAAATGCTTTTCTGCATGAAGGGAGAGTATCCTTTTCATTGTACCATGGCCTCCATTCCCACTCCCATTCCGACTTTCCACATACTCCCCAGGGCAGGCAAGGTGGGCAATGGGCATTTGTTTCATGCATCTCTGTGGCTTCAGCTGAATCCAAGTAAGGACTTCATCGTGCTAGACCTCACCATGTCTTTCATAACGGAGGGGGAAACACTATTTTGTTATCCTCATAGGGCTACTCTACAACAAATACACAAAGCACCACACAGATTCTGCCACATGGCAGGAGTTTCAGCATTAAATATTGCCCACATCATTTATAAAATTTGAAACAGCATGGGTCCCAGAAATAGGGTTATCAAAATAATCCCTCTGTTTCTCCTTGTGCCCTATTTCATTCAGGCAGGTAGGGGACGCTGTACTGGGGGAAGACTGTTAGGTTGTTTGGAGCACACACAACCCTCCTGTTGTCCTCTCGTCTATGCTGGTGTCACCTGTCTTCCTGTCCAGCAATGGCTGCTCTAGATGCCCTATCAGTGGTGCCTGTAGCAGCACTTGTAGGGGACCCTCTTACCCGTCCAACTCCTGTCACTCAAGTGTAAAGCAGACCCATTAGAGACTCAGTCGTGTACTGCAGCATCAGATCTAATACCTGACATCTCTAGTTATGACCTGCTATGTCAGTGGCATTGTGATTGTAGTTAAAGAAAAGATAGCAAGATAAGAATATAAGTGTTTTATTTGCCTGGTCCTGACAGGACATCTACTAAGTCCTTATAGGACAGAGGTAGGAAAAATGGTACCTCAGGGTATTTCAAGGGCCTGTTATCCTACAGAAATATTGCAAATACAAAAAAAACAGAATAAATTTTGTTAGGACTCTGAGAAATTGTCAAGCATCTACAGAAAATAGATGAAAAATCCATTTTTCAACTAAGATAAAATTGCTTTAACACAACATATCTGTGAAACTGCAAGCTGACCCCAGGGAAAGGAGTCACTGCATCAGAGAAAACAAAGGGAAAGAAAATGCTTTTAAACTGTTTTGGCCAGTTTACTAAATAAACAGCTCGAGCCACAGCAAGAAATCACAATATAGCCTTGGAGAGGGCAACGTTTCATATTGTAACATTAGAAAAGTCAAATTTCTAGCACCAATATGAGATACATGAAGAAGACAAAGTATGTTTAATTTAAAAAGAGAGAAATTGATCGTCACTAAGTGGAAGATGCACATACTTTATACATAGAACTTGAGGAGTCCAGATCAACTTCCTTAAATATGTGCAAAGATGTTAAGGAAGTTTCCAATAAAAAAGTAGAATTAAATTTAGCTTTTGACGACTTCCCCTATTATTTTCTCTCCATTCTCTTTGCTTACTCTGCTTTAATCTTGTTTCTTTCA